GTGGCTCAAGTGGTAGAGCGCTAGCCTTGAGCTAAAGAGAGCAGAGACAGTGCGTAGGCCCAGAGTCTAAGCCCCACCACCGACAAAAAGAAAAAGAGAAAGACTTAAAATTCAGATGAGAGATAAAGACATGCTCCTGACAAAGTTTTGTTTTTGTTTTTGGTTGGTCATGGGGCCTGAACTCTGGGCCTGGGCACTGTCCCTCAGCTCTTCAGCTCAAGGCTAGTGCCCTACCACTTGAGCCACAGAGCCACTTCTGGCTTTTTTCTGCTTATGTGGTGCTGAGGAATGGAACCCAGGGCCTCATGCATGCAAGGCAAGCACTCTACCACTGAGCTAGTCCCTGTTGTTGTTTGTTTGTTTAAATTGTTTTTTTAGTGCAGGCCCTGGGGCTTGATCTCTGTGCAAGGTCTGGTCTGGGAGCTTTTTTGCTCAAGGCTAGACCTCTACCATTTGAGTCACAGTTCTACTTCCCGCTTTTTAATGGTTAACTGGAGATAAGTGTCTCAAGGACACTTCCTGCCTGGGCTGGCTCTGAACTGTAGTCTTCTGATCTCAGCCTCCTGAGTAGCTATGATTACAGTTGTGAGTCACCAGCACCCAGCTTCAACAAAATATAAAACCTTGGTTCTAGCCATTCCTGGGTTCTAGCTGTCCTCCTATAGCTCTTCAGCTTTCTTAGCATTCATAGGATACCTAACATGCTACCAATAAATTCCTCTTTTGCTGTAGTTAGGATGTGTCTTATAACTAAAGTGCTTAATCAGTAATCTAAAGGGGATACTTGGTTAGATGAAGTTCTAGTGATCACAAATCACTAGAAAGATGTTGGCTATTAAGGAGTTTGAGTAAGAGGATGTCCTCTCTTCAAAAGGCTCAAGTGTTAAAAGTGTGGGGGGATGAGGATGGAGAAACCTTTAGGAAATGGGTCTAATGACAGCTCCCTCTCTCCTGCTTTCCTTCCTGGCCACCATGAAGTAAATACATTTACCACACAAAGGCACTTTCACTAAGATTATTGCTTTATCACAAGCCTAAAAACAACTGAGCCAAACAACCAGCAACTGAAACATCTGAACCAAAATAAACATTTCCTCCTTTTTGTTGTTTATCTCAGGCATTTTATTATAGCAACAGAAAACTGACTAACACAGTCGCTACTGAAATCAAAATAAACAGATGTGGTCAACTCAGAAAAATATACAAAGGGTACTCAGGCTAAGATTCAAAGCTATTCATATTAAGGGGTTATACTGGCTGTATGCAACAGCCAGTAAAAAAAAAGCCAGGTAAAAGGCAGAGTCATAAAAATAAAGGGAAAAATATCAAGAAATCAGAGGGCCCTATGCCAGTAATCCTAGCTACTCAGGAGACTGAGATCCGAGGATCATGGTTCAAAACCCAGTCCAGGCAGGAAAGTCCATGAAACTCTTATCCCTAAGTAACCAGCAAAAAGCCAAAAGTGAAGCTGTGGCTCATGTGGTAGAACACTAGCCTTAAGCAAAAGAAGCTCAGGGACAGGGCCTAGGCCTAGAATTCAAGCCTCAGGACTGGCAAAAAAAAAACGAAGCAAACGAAGCAAACAAAATACCAAAAAAACAAAAAACCCAACCAACACCAGCACATAGATACAAATATAAATAAGTAAACTAGCACCCACTATTAACCTGTTAACCTAACTAAAAGTCACTATAATTCATTAGACATACCAACATTGCACCCACTATTAACCTGTCTCCCTAACTAAAAGTCACTATAATTCATTAGACATACCAACATTGCACTAAGATTGCTCAGATTACAGATTTTTAAATAAAGTATAATGAAGCAGAAAATATATTAAATAAGACTTTCTGGGGCTGGGAAGGTGGCTCAGTGTAGAGTACTTGCCTTGCATGCATGAAGCCCTGGGTTCAATTCCTCAGCACCACATAAGCAGAAAATGCCAGATGTGGCGCTGTAGCTCAAGTGGTAAAGCGCTAGCCTTGAGCTGAAGAGCTGAGGGACAGCGCCCAGGCCAAGAGTTCAGGCCTCATGACTGGAAAAAAAAAAAGACTTTCCCTTTTCAGAAACAGAATAGATAGTTCCAATATTAAAATGCTCTTGGAGTCTGGTAATGGTGTCTCATGCCTGTAACCCTAGCTACTCAGGAGATCTGAGGACTGTGGTTCAATCAGCCCAAGCAAAAAAGTCCATGACACTCTTATCTCCAATAAATTACTCAGAAAAAGCCAGAAGTGGTGCTGTGACTCAAGTGGTAGAGCACTAGCTTTGAGCACAAAGAAGCTCAGGGACAGTGCCCAGGCCCTGAGTTCAAGCCCCAGGACTGGCAAGGAAAAAAAAAACACCCTTGGATATTTTTTAATTAATTTTAGAATATTTTCTGTATACCAGTAACATTAAAGTTCTCAAAATACAATACCACTGAAAACAAACATGAAGACAAAGAGGAATGCAAATGATTAGTCAAAAGTTAATAACTAGAATGTTTACTATTGCTATCTTTTATATATTGTAGCGTCACTTCAAATAACCACAATGGTTATCAAGTTGAAAACAAGTGGGGTGCTTTTCTTAAGCAAAGGAAAAAGCAGCAAGGTAATAGGATAGAATAGCTTTAAAAAGTCTTTAGTAATTTTATTTCATAATAACCAAGACTGGCAAACACCCTCCCAGAAATCAAATAAAAGTGTCCCAACTTATCAGAGGAAATGCAAAAGAGAATGGATAAAGTAAGGACTGGGGAGAGCTGGGTAACCTTTCTCATTGTATAGGAATGTTTTTATGAAAAAAAAATTTGGGGGGGGTCTGGTCGTGGGGCCAGAACTCTGGGCCTGGGCGCTGTCCCTCAGCTCTTCAGCTCAAGGCTAGCGCTCTACCACTTGAGCCACAGCACCACTTCCGGCTTTTTTCTTATGTGGTGCTGAGGAATGGAACCCAGGGCCTCATGCATTCAAGGCAAACGCTCTACCACTGAGCCACCTTCCCAGCCCCTATAAATTTATTTTTATAATACACACTGAACTTTCATATTCAGCCATGTCCTCAATACTTAACACCTCTTCAATTTTATGAAAAATACAACAATAAAAGGGTAGGCTTTGGACATTTTGGACTCCATTCTAATTCAGTAGATGGCCACAAAAGAAGAAATACCTGTTTTCTTTGTTCCTTTCAGGTACACGTAAAACCAATACATTTCCCCTTTACCTCTTCAAAACTGAAAGATATATAACTTTTAGAAGGCTTCATCTTGTTTCATCTTCTGAATTTGATATTCATTTTCCCCCCTTAAAATACTTATCACTAGGCGCTGGTTGGCTTATGCCTGTAATCCTAACTATTCAGGAGGCTGAGACCTGAGAATCATTTTCAAAGCCAGTCTGGATAGGAAAGTCCATGAGATTCTTATCTCCAATTAATGGCCAAAAAAAACAAAACAAAACAGGAAGTGGAGCCTGTGGCTCAAGTGTCAGAGCACTAGCTTAGAGCAAAAAATGTCAGGGACAGCTCCCAGGTCCTGTGACCAGCACAAAAACAACAAAAACCTATTTATCACTAGCTCATACAGCTTTCTTTAGATTACCTCTTTTGTAAAATCAGACTGGATAATTTGATACAACAATAATTTCAAGTTCAAAATAGGATCCCACTCAAAAATCAACCTGTGGCCGGGCACCAATGGCTCACACCTGTAATCCTAACTACTCAAGAGGCTGAGATCTGAGGATCACAGTTCAAAACCAGCCCGGGCAAGAAAGTCCATGAGACTCTTATCTCCAATAAACCACTAGAAAAACTGGAAGTGGCACTCTGGCTCAAATGGCTCAAATGGTAGAGCACTAGCTTTGAGCTGAAGAGCTCAGGGATAGCACCCAAGCCCAGAGTTCAAGCCCCATGACTGACCAAAAAAAAAAAAAAAAATCATCCTGTTCATCAGAGAATAAAGAAGAATAAACATGATACTCTAAAGACAGTACAAAAGGCCTATGAGAAAATTACTATTATATTAACTTACAAAAGGCATACAATAACTTCAGAGCACAAAGAGAATGTGTGAGTATGTGAGAATGCGATGAGTAGAAAGTGAATTGTAATGAAAAGATTCTATCTTTAGGAATTCTTAATTCCACAGCTTCACCAAAGCACTGTAGAGCCATCTTTACACGCCAACGCTTGGACTACAGAGCTTAGACCACAGCTAAGCTATTTTTTTTTTCAAGCAAACAGTAAATGTTTGGTCACTCAGAGACACTCTACCTTGTTCTTACTTGAAGCCAAATTTTGTGTAATGTGTGTCTACTGTTTCACCAGAGCTGACAAAAATAAGTCTGCAAATGACACAAACTGAGTGACATTGCTGGAATTAATTTTTTTTTTACTGCTTCCAGGTGTTTAGTAAGTTCATTCTGAAAGTTAATTAAAACCAACCACACTTTTTTTTTTATGTCTAGAGACTGAAATGCAATGATAATTAAGGAAAATAAACCTTAAAAGAGTTGAAGCCAGCTTTGTTGAGAACCAAGTGGCCACTTGCCAACACTTCTTTTATGCACATATGACTGAGAGTGATTTCAAGCAGACTCAGAAGCCACAAAAGCCGTAAGAAAACCCAGATTAAGAAAGTTCTCATAAATATTTCAATTTCGATAAGTTGAAAGGCAGTTAAATAAAAGACTTTATTTAAAAAAAAAAAAAAGCTTTTCAGAGTCAATACAGAAACAAAGCTCCAAGTGTTTTTACCGTCTGAACCCTAAAAAACAGCACATGTTTGAAATGCTACATAAGACTATTCATGGGTACTTATAGCTTAGATTCGGTCAAGAAAAACACTGGTAACTTGGAAAAGGACTGGCCTTAATTTATAATCTCCCAACACCCAACAGGCAAGAAAAGGGACAATTTTAAATTGTAACACACACACACACACACACACACACACACACAGCAAGCCCCAAAAACCTAGAAGCCTAAATCTTAACTTAGTTTCAAGTCCATACCTGAACATTTCCAATTAGTACTCCCCACACCCTATCCACGACGTCGTTTGGGAATGAGGCAATCCCGCGACACCTCAAACTCCTCTACCCCACCATCCATCCTCAAAGAGTGGAACCACCAGCAAAGTGGAAGGAACAAAGCCCTGACGTCAATTACGAGCTTAACCCGGAGCTCAGGCAGCTGGGCCTAGACATCACTAACCAAACACCACCCAATGGGGGGGGGGAGAGAGAGAAGGGGGGGAGAACCTGCAGGTAACAGGCCGATCCCTCAAGTTGGAAGGGGGTGGAATTCCAGGATTTCCTCCGCTCCGTCGCCCAGAAGTCTCATTTTCAGTCGATCCCCAACGTTAGTGTAAGGTGGAATTTTTTTTTCCCTTTTTTTTCTTTGCAGCGTAGTTGTGGGGGGGCAGGGGGGGGGGGGAGGTGCGCAGGATCGCGAGAAGGAAAGCGAGAACTAGTTTGGGGTCATGATAGCCAGAACCCAGAGGCCTATTTTCTCTTTAACTAGAAAAAAAAAAAAAACACTTTATAATTTTTTAAAAAATTAAATCTTTGTCAATGATGAAGGTGTATTAAAAAGCACGACAAAAATCGGCCGATGAGGTGTCACCGAGACAAGAGCCTGGGGTGGGGCGGGAGGAAGGAGGAGGAGGAGGAGGAGAAAACGAGCGAGGAGGGGAGGAAGAAACCGGTTGGAAAAAGATGGGCGCCTGGAAGGTTCGTCGGGATTGGGTTAGGTTGTCTTTATTTATTTATTTATGTCCACGGGTGGGAGGGAACGCGCACACAAACGAGGTGTGTGGAGGGGGGGGTTCGAAGCCGGATCGAACAGCCCCCGCCCCTGGGGTCCCTACCCCCTTCCCCCCCCCCACACACACTCTGTCCGTCAGTCAGTCCATCAAGTCCGTCCGTCTGTCCACCCGCCCCTCTCTCACCTCCAGTCCCGGCTCCGCTAGGCCCGAACCATCTCCCGACCGCGGCGGCTTGCGACGGGCGCCCGGCCTCCACCTTCACCGGACGCGTTTTCGGGGAGACGGGGGTGGGGGGGAGGCGCCCAGAGAGGCGGCGACGGGCTGCCGAGGGCGAAGGGCTGTGGGCGGCGGCGGCGGATCCCGAGGCCTCGCCGGGCGACGGCGACGCGCTTCACTCGGTGGACGCGGAGGTCCCGCCCCGCTCCATGACGGTCGGGCCGAGCCCGGACGGCTGACTGAAGTGGCGGAGGGGAGGAGGGGGGGAAGAGGGGAGAGGGGAGGGAGTGAGGAGGAGGAGGAGGAGGAGGAGGGCGGGCTGACGGGAGGGGGGGAAAAAAAAAACCCGGACACTGAGATCCCCGCCCCGTCCGCAGGCGGCGACGGTGACGGCGACGCCTCGACTCCCGCAGCCAGAACTGACTGACGCAGCGGCCGTGCGGCCCATGTGACCGGAGCCGGGCGGGTGTGGGACAGTCACGTGACGCGAGCACGGGGAGGGGTGGCGGGGGTTGGGAGGCAGTGTGGGGAGGAGGGGGGGAGGCGGAGGGGGGACGAGGGCCCTGCGGGCCTGAGGTGCTTCTGGCGGATCCTGGGATGGTGACGTACGGGGGAGTGTGGGGGGGGGGGGGTGTGCTGTCATGGCCCAGACCGCCTGAGGAAGAGCTTGAGGGCGACCCGAGGGCTGCGGGCCACGGTGGAAGGGGGGGGTGGGGGTGGGAGGGAGCGGGCGGGCATGTCGGGGCCTTCACGTCCCCCCGGCGCGCGCGCGCACACACACACGCACCTTCCTGTGCTGCCCGCTAGTGAGCTGGGGAGGGGGCGGGGCTAGGAGGAGGGGGCGGGGCTAAGGGCCGGCTAGATCTTCTGATTCTGCCATACAGGTGAAGCTGGGCACAGCCCCCTGACCTGTCTTCTGGTGCTATCTGAACCTGGACTTCAGCTTCCCAAGGTGTGCAAAGGTGCTGCCTTTCCACAAGTCCAGTAGAAGGGCAGCAGGCGTGGGGGCGTTGTGCTTAGGTGGGATGATGTCTAGAACCGTCTGGAACTTATCCTTGTCCTAAATGGTTTTTGTCATTAGGATTTTTCTTCATGAAAGGATTCTGAAAATAGTCAGGCACCCCCTTTTAATATCCTGCCCGTCCCACAAGGTATAATTTAGCTGGGAACAAAGTAATACAGACTAGACAGGGTTCCAGGGTGTCATGGAACTGTCTAGACAGGCTACCTCTTATTCATTTTAAAAACAATCTTATGTTTCCTAGCTACTTTCCTTTCCTGGAGGAAAGAACTGATTTTTGACAAAATACAAAAGCTTGGAAAGAGCTTTATGATCAAGGTATTATAAGAAATGTGCATATAAAAAAGTGCTTTGGGGGGGCTGGGAAGATGACTCAGTGGTAGAGCGCTTGCCTTGCATGCCTGAGGCTCTGGGTTCGATTCCTCAGCACCACATAAGCAAAAATGAAAAAAGCCAGAAGTGGCGCTGTGGCTCAAGTGGTAGAGTGCTAGCCTTGAGCTGAAGAGCTCAGGGACAGCGCCCAGGCCCAGAGTTCAGGCCCCACGACTGGACCCAAAAAAAAAGAAGAAAAAAAAAGTGCTTTGGCCCTGGCCCTAAGTGGCTCACGCCTGTAAATCCTAGCTACTGAAGAAGCTGAGTGAGATCTGAGGATCACGGTTCAAAGCTAGCTCAAGCAAAAAAGTCTGTGAGACTTTTAATCTCTAATTAACTACTGTAAAATCCAGAAGTAGAGCTGTTCTAGCTTTGAGCACAAAAGTTCCGAGAAGGTGCTCAAGTCCTGAGTTCCAGCTCCAGGACCAGCACGCACACACACACACACACACACACACACACACGCACACACACACACACACACACATGCTTTGATCCGTCCTCAAAACACACACACACACACACACACACACACACACACGCTTTGATCAGTCCTCAAAACCGGTGCCAGGCACTGGTGGTTCACGCCTGTAATCCTAGCTACTCAGGAGGCTGAGATCTGAGGATCATGGTTCAAAGCCAGCCTGGGCAGGAAAGTCCATGAGGTTCTTATCTCCAATAAACCACCAGAAAACCAGAAGTGGCGCTGGCTCAAGTGGTAGAGCGCTCACCTTGAGATGAAGAGCTGAGGGAAAGTACCCAGGTCCAGAGTTCAAGCCCCACCAACAACAAAAAACAAACAACAAAGAAAAGAAATATAGTCAGGGCTGGGAATGTAGTAAAGTGCTTACCTAGAATGCATGAAGCCCTGGGTTCAATTCCTCAGTACCACAGAAACAGAAAAAGCCAGAAGTGCCACTGGGGCTCAAGTGGTAGAGTGCTAGCCTTGAGGAAAAGAAGCTCAATGACAGTGTTCAAGCCGAGTTCAAGCCCCAGAACTGGCAAAGAAAAAAAAAGTCGCATATTAATATGAGACTGACATGTAGCTTTATATAATATAATATTAATATAAATGTATTATATTAATATTAATATTAATATTATTATATAATATTAATATTATATATACCATTATGTTATATATAATATTAATATATTTGCCTAGTATGAGATAGGCCCTGGGTTCCATCCCCAGAATTTAAAAAAAAAAAATCTGAAAAATAAAAGAGGCTTAGGGATGAAGCTCTGGTAGAGCCTTTGCCTACCATGTGACATAGTAGCTCTGAGGCCCTGGGTTCCATTCCTAGCTCCATGTGGATGGCAGAATCTATTCGTAAAACTGACAGAGACGGAGACAGAGAGAATAGAAAGAAGAAATTAAGAGTGCACTGGGTGGGGCTGGGAAGGTGGCTCAGTGGTAGAGCGCTTGCCTTCCATGCCTGAGGCCCTGGGTTCGATTCCTCAGCACCACATAAGCAAAAAGAAAAAAAAAAGCCAGAAGTGGCGCTGTGGCTCAGGTGGTAGAGCGTTAGCCTTGAGCTGAAGAGCTGAGGGACAGTGCCCAGGCCGAGTTCAGGCCCCATGACCGGACCCAAAAAAAAAAGAATGCACTGGGTGTTCATGGTTGATACCTGTAATTAGGCATCTCAGGGGAATGAGAGCTAATGATCAAGGTTCAAAGCCAGTTCAGGCAAATCCAAGAAACTCTTACCTCTAATTAATTAAAGCTGTAACGGAGGCATTGGTTAAGATGCAGAGTATCAGCCATGAGAAAGAAAAAAAAAAAAAAAGCCACAAGTGGAAGGCATTGAATTCAAGACCTTATGCACATACACACAAAGAACTCAACTGATTTTGATCACACCTGTAATTTTAGCTACTCTGGAGGTTGAGATCCAAAGATGGACAGTTCAAGATGAGCCCAGGATTGTGGTTTGAAGCCAGCTCAGGCAGAATAGTTCATTAAGACTCCATCTCTAAACTAACCAGCAAAAGCAGGCCTGGAGGTATCATTCAAACGGGACAGCACCAGCCTATCAAGCAAGCTCAGTAAGCTGCTTTTCTCCATTGTTTGCTGGAGATCCTACATATATCTGTTCGAGACTAATGAATTCAGGTGACTGAACATTTGGACTTTAGCCCTTTTCTCTCTCCTCTTCCCATGTTATCTTCATTTAGACCTAAGGGCAAATGAACTTTTTTAAAGATCTAAAATATTTTAGCAAAAAGAAAAAAGCCGTAAGTAGCGCTGTGCTGTCGCTCAAGTGGTAGAGTGCTAGCCTTGAGCTGAAGAGCTGAGGGACAGTGCCCAGGCCCAGAGTTCAGGCCCCACGACCGGACACAAAAAAAAAAACCATAAAATATTTTAGGCTTTGCGGGCTATACAAGTTTTTTGTTTGTTTGTTCATTTTTGCCAGTTGCGAGCCCTGAACTCTGAGCCTGAGTGCTGTCCCTCAGCTCTTCAGCTCAAAGCTTGAGCCATAGCACTACCTCCGGCCTTTTATGCTCATGTGGTGCTGAGGAATCGAACCCAAGGCCTCATGCATGCAAGGCAAGCACTCTTCTACTGAGCCACCTCCCCAGCCCTAACACTATACAAGTTTTCAGCTGGGCACTGATGGCTCCAACTTGTAATTCTCTACCACTTGAGCCACTCCTCTGTTTGTGGTTTGGGGCTGGTTAATTGGAGATTAAAAAAAAAAAAGTCTTGCACCCAAGCCCTGAGTTCAAGCCTCATGACAGGACCCCCCCCCCCCAAAAAAAAAGTCTCTTAGACTTTTCTGCTCAGGCTGGCTTCCAACCATGATCCTCAGATCTCAGCCTCCTGAGTAGCTATGATTACAGGTGTG